TCTGTGGAGAGAGTGTTTTTGGAAGTGTGGCTCCAATCCTCATCAAACATTTCATGTGCATGTATGTCTACATCAGTAATTCAGACTAATCAAGTTTGAAAGTCTGCTCACTTCCGCATTTACTTTTGCAAGACCATAACCAGCTTTCCCTTGGAAAGAAACGAGAGCCAAATGGAAGTGAGGTAGTTCTCAAGTTGCATTAACTAGGAGAGCCTTGTGCACAAAAGGACCACTCACAAAGCTGTTCCTATGAGGCATCACACAGAGTTTGGCCCTTTTTATGAAACTCATTACTTAACAATACATTATTGTATTTGATTGAGCTGGCACAGACATGCTTGGCAAGGCTGTGCAAAAAGTCTGTGTTGCCACGCCAAATGTTTTTCAACCTGTGTGCGCCTGTGTTCAGGTCTGATAAGGTTATCTGTAGCGCATATGCTCCTTGTTAAAAGGTTACATTCTTATACTGTCCATACAGGCCTGAGAGAGGTTACGTTCAATGCTGAAAAAGTTCATCTGAAAGGGCAAGTCTACCCTAGCCTATGGGTAGATTGAGGGCTCCCTCCACCATTCTGTTTATGTATCTATGATTTGTGCTTCCCTGGCTGCACCATCTTCCCAACTCAGTACGACAGTGGGATGGGGCCTCATTCAGCCTCATCTGCAGTCCATTTGGCATGGCACTTACGGAAGCAGAAATGTCAGTTTGCATATTATGGGGCTTGATTAAGTGATTGAAGTGACTCCCTCACATCTCACATGCAAGCTTTAACCACTGTACAGAAAAGTGGGCTTTGCCTTTCTCAAAGTTGTTTTTGAATGAGCCTGGACCGAATGAAGGCTGTCCATGTGCACTGAGCAAATGCTGAGCATGCCTATTCACCATGACTGGCTACAGTTCAGTCTTAAAGAGAAGGCTGTAGATAGAACAAGGTATTCAACTCAGCAGTCTTTTTTGTCCATATTTTGTATTACTTTGAATATATCAGTCTTATTAAAACAATGCTTTTCTGACATTATTAGAGACTTCAGAATTGCAACTGCCCAGTTTTTGCATCTGGCACTCTAATAGATATTGTGTACCCAAATGCACATTTCTGTCATTAGAATGGGATTCCTTAAAGACATGTGGTGCAAAATGTCAAGTTTGCTAACTTTACATTAGTTTTCCAGTGATCGAAGAGAAATTTCTTCCTTTACTCTAAAAAATGTTCCAGTTTCTAACCAGCTTATTTTCACCTGCCTTTGTCTCCATCAATCTTCCTTCCACCATTTTGTCTTTTCTGTACATATACGTGTAACTGCAGGGTGCGTCCTGGGTCATCCTGCCTCCTCTTCTTCCAGGATCTCTGTTTCTCTTTTCCCTATTATCCATCCCTAAAAGCAATTCCCTTGCTATCTGGAGGATTCCCAAGTCTCTAATCAGAATTCACTCCTCCCATTCTTTCAATGTCTTCCCCAACCATTTCTGACTGTCTCTGTCTTGGCAAAATAAAATCTCTGAATCTATTGTACCAGTTCTTACCAGGAAGGTCTTGTTTGCCCGCCTGAGGACAGGAAAATACGTGTTTTTTTCTTTTTCCTTTTTATTGCTATATCCCACAGAAAACTGTTGTTAAGAAACAACTTGTTGTTTAGGCACAGCTGCTCTTCCTCGGCAGTAATAGGAGTTTTCCTTCCTTGGTTGAGCAAGACTTTTTTCCACTGAAGAACTGGTACAGAACACTTTGCTAAAAATTTCAGATGCAGGTCCTTTGTGAGTTCTTAGCTTCAAAAGCAGGTTGTGGAGAAGAAGGAGTCTCTGAGTTGTATGCTGACCGGATGCGTGGCTCTCAGTGCCAACTCTGATCGCTCTACGTAAGCAGCTATAGCTGTGAGATGCCTTTCTTGACCCTAGGTTTTCTTGGCCTCCCCTTCAATTATTTGACTGAACTCAAATACATCTCTGCCTTTCTTATTTAAACAACTCCAACCTGTTTGCCCAGGGAGACAATTGCTTTGGTTACTTGATCTGCGTCAGTGGCAACAAGCTGCAGAGGAAAGTGGCTGTGTCTGTTCTGCTGCAGTCTCCTGTGATAAACCCGTATGTCTGTCTGGTGTAACCCTACACAGGCCAAAGAGTGCAGGGCAAGGACTCTTCTTATTCTACAGAATTGATGGCATTCAGACTTACAGAGCAGCTTCATATCTCTTCCTCAGATGAGAGCTGGGCCATCAATTCGTATCTCTTGTGATACACATATTTATGCTTGTACATGACTGTAGCAGCAGTTGCTGACCTTTGAGTACCAAGAGACTTAGCAAAAATGCCTTCAGAAGCAGCATTCTCTGCACTCTTCCCCCACTGCCAGATGTGGCTTACAGCCACAATCCAGTCCTTAGATTGCAAATGACTTGGAGTGGGAATTATGCTTCTCTTCTATGTTAAATAAGAGCAACCTACACTGAGCGTGCTCATTAAAAAATCATGTTGTTCAACACTGATCCCTTGGGCTATGGTTAGAGCTCCACAGTATAACTTGCAAGAGACAAGTTGGATTCTCAGGCTAGCCAGGCTCAGGAAAGGAAGAGCAAAACAGCATTTTGGAAGAATAAATGGCATACCTATGGTGGAACAACAAGGCAGCCTTCTATAGAAGATGTTCTTAAATGACATGATTCTTTAAATTAGTCTAGGAAAGATCCTAACAGGTATGCAAGTGTGACTGTTTCTGTCAACCAGAAAGATAAATTATCGACCAGAGTGCATCACAAATCACATTAAAAACAAATTAAACAGTACCTTATGCCACTGCTACAAGGTATATTTTCCAGCTTTCCCTGTCCAGGAAGCCTATCCATCTATAAAGACCGCATGAGTAGGTGGATAAGTGACACAAGAAAGAGAAAAATGACTATGTAGCTAAGCCTATTGTGCATCATATTAACTTCATAAATGGCTCTAATGATTCTGCTATGGGTGAAACACATGAGGGAACTAGCAGAGATAAAAGATGTTAAACCACATAACAATTTAAGGATACTAGGCATAAAACAGAAGCACCAATTGGGCTGAAAGCAGGATGATGTCCTAGGGAAATCACTGAGGTTTTTTTCATCCAAAATATTAGGAACCTTAAGAAAAGAGAACAAGATCCCATCCATAGTTGCTTCTTCAGCTGTTTTGAAAACCCAGCCTTGTCTGGGACTCTTCTTTCATTAGATATGTTTCTGTGGAAGCCTGCTAATCTGGTTTACCCATCTCTATCTGCATGAGAATCTCAGAAAACAACTAAGGCACAAAAGAGGAAGGAGAGAATATGACAACTTTCTGAGGGAGGGGCTGCCAAACCAATTGCAGTAATACCCTCTGTATTCCCCATTGAACAATTTGTGGGTGATATTAGTTAGGAAAGGTTCTCTGCATCACAGTAATGGTGAGAGAGCACAATAGTTTGAGCCTCAATGCTCCACCAGTGTGAACTGAAGAAGGAAAAGAGAAACTTCTCCATTGTTAAGACTACAAGTGTGTTACTCATTGTTGGGATACAAAAGGCTGAAGCTTTAAAAAGCTGGCAGAGACACAGACATCATAGAAAAGCAATGTCTCTGCTGCAGTCAGAGTGCAAGATTAAAAGGATATGTGTGACACAAGGAGATCTGAGGTAATTTAGAGCTGCATTTCTCCGTCTGTGGTCTGCAGAATAACAACAACCTAATATACTCAGAGGTGACCCTCAGAGAGAATCTATTTAAATGACAGAAACAATATAATTTCTCTTTTTTTTTTTTTTTTTTTTTTTTTCTTCCCAGTTCATGCAGGTAAGTATGATGATGAAATAAGGAGAGAAAGCAAGAAGTATTCAGAAATCCCTCAGAGTGACTCCTGGGCTGTACATAAGCTTGGCTGTGGCAGTGCTGCACAAACCAGGCCATGACTGCCTGCGGAGTAAGCAAGATCAGAAGAAACTCAGAAACACTCAGCCCTGCAAACAGTTTAGCAGCTCATGCTTTTAACTTCTGAGAGGTTTTTTTTCCCTCCAAGAAGTTTATTGCATGGGTATGATTGTATATCCATGAACTCTAGATCACATACTGATGATCATCTGTGCTTTTAGCAACCTGTTGCCTTTATGGTACTCCTTTTCTTCATCCCCCTCAGTGAGGCAGACATAAACCTGCTACTTTCATGGGCCCTGAATACATGAAAGAAAAAACTAGCACCTGTTTTATCAGAGGGCAGGTGAAGGAAAAAGTGACCCAAAGTCACAGCGTTTTTCTTTTGCACCAGCACAACTGCGTTAAGGACATAGAGTTTGCCCTAGGGCCTACAGAGGCAGAGCCTCTGCAATGCGCATGAGGGTCTCATTTGCCCCGCAGAAATGTTGTGGCTCAAAAGCTGACTGACTAGCTAAATCACTCTCTTTGCAGTGGAAAACTGGCATTTTACCAACATTGTTGACCTGATGCTTGGGCAGTTTTGACAGCTGGGGCATGTAAACGGTATTGTCCTAAGAAAACAGCCTGTGCAGCATATGCAGTCATGCTCTGTGTCACCGTCAGCTATCTGACTTTGGACCAGCACACAAGAGATCCTGCTTCTGACTCTGAATCCAGAAGGGTAATGGGGCACACATCCCATCTTCCCTCCTGGAAGCCTCAGGCACAGTCTGAAGGACTTCCTTGCTTGTGACTGCGAAGATAAGTGTTCAGACCTAAAAATACCATCAATTTGGCTTGCCATGGTACCATCTGGAGATCGTTTGTAATTACTATAGCTCATGGGTTAGTGCACACCCCTTCCAATAGCTGGAGGAGAACTACCATGAAAATGGCATCTTTATTTATAGCAATGAAAGTGCTACAAATTTATAGCTAGAAAGTGCTTAATTGGTTAAAAAGCTGCAAAATTGCTTTTCTTAATATAGACTTGAGTTAAACAACAAAACTGGAAATAATTATCAGAAATATGTTTTAGAAATGCAATATTTTATTCATCTGGAAGCAAATAAGTTACTTACTAGTGAATGGAAGGAGAGCAGGGCGTAGTCCTTTCCATGGAGTTCTCTTTCACTGGAGTTATTTTATGCCTCAAATGATAAAAGACATTTTGCTGCTGCTCAATAGGAGAAAGCAAGATTGTAGTTCAGAATATGCAGGCACAAGTGAACCAGTTTTTTCCAGCTGAAACTAGGTTGTTGCTATAGCAACATCCAAATGATAGACAGATTTTTTGAATGTGCAGTGGTCTACTGTGATAACAGAGCTTCCAGGATTTCTACCAAATAGCTTCAAACTTACTAGAGTGCAGTAACACCAAATGCCACGTCTCTGAAATAACACAAGCAAACAAAAGACAGCGCAATAACAAAACCATTTTTCACCTACCTTTCAAATGAAACCCCCCACTTAACACGTAGCGTTTATATTCCTAGACAATATCTTCCTGCCAATCCCTTTTCAGTGCAGTGGCATACCAAAAGACAGACCGCATTCCGAGTTTAACACCACCTACAGACCCATTCAGTGCGATGGCATGCAAGTGATGTGCGTACAAGGTGTGAGTGCCTTCAGTCTTTTTTTAGGCTGCATGCTGCCTGCACATTGCTGAGAATCCCGTTGAGTCGGTGAAGTCACACAAGAGCACACCACTCACTTCATCACTATGTTTTGCAGCAGAGAGACCTTGAGGATTAAACGGCTTAGCACGTGGTGGAACAGATATATTCACAAACAGTCCAAAGACAGGCTACCCTGGGCCACTTCCATGAAGAATAAGACATATCTGCCTTGACCATGTCCCCCTTGTAGACAGTGGGCGCATGGTTTTCACTCAAAGCAACTTTCTCCTCTGCTCATTCTTCCTGCTCTGCTCCAAGGGGGGGGAGGGTCCAGGATTTTGGTTTTCCTGGAAGAAATCCCTTCCTGAGCACAGCCGGGATTCATGAGCATTGCAGAGACTGTTTGACTGTTCCTCTTCATCATCCATTAGCTCTCAGTGGGAGTGCTACTGCACTGTCTGCAGTCTGCAGCTTACAAAGGGTGTTTAATGTCCTTTTGTCCCCAGTACCCAATCCCTCAGGAAGCTTTTCTCCCAAGGAAGCTGCTGCCAATTATATTGGTGAAATCTTTCAGTGAACTTAGCTGAATGTGTGCAAAGTCATTTTTGTCCCTACTGGCACATAGCTGTAAATTCAAGACAAGTTTTGACCTGTCAGTGTGTATGAAATTCAGTTTGTACTTAGATTACCCTCTGCGCCCAATTATTATACTGACTTCATCCTCACAAGAGACATGGAACATAGATATGATAGTAGATTTAGAACAGAATCAATAAACAAAAGAGTAACTTAGTTACTCTATTAAATAGAGTCACATACATTTAAATTTTGGTGTGCTTTTTAGTTAACTTACTACTTGAGGTTGCGATGGATATTTTTTCTGATTGTTTATGTAGTTTATATAGCTTTGATAACGTTCTGCAATAGGGCTCAGCTAAATGAAACGATGAACTGCCTTTATGATTCACAAGCCACTCTGGATAATTAATTACTCAGCATTTGTGGCTTGCCATGTGGTCATCAATCGTTCAAAAAAACTCACATTTGTAAACACATCCTTTGCAGCTGGTCTTATGTCAGACTTCAGAGTGACTAGTGGAGATATCAGAGAGCTATAAATGTTTTCCTTTGAAATTTACTGGTTGTACTCCAGTTTATCTCTTGTGGGAAAAATTAAGCAGCAGATGTGGGAGGACAGGAGCACTGAGGAAGACAGGTAAAGTATCTTGAATGGTTCTCAGATTCACTTTCTTTTCCCAATTTTTTGTCGGTATATCTTGGAATCCATTACCCTCCCTCTTCTGACTTTAGTCTGGGAGCAAATGCTCCTTCTGGTGGCTTTGTGAAAAGTCTGAAATACAGATAGGAGAAAAAAAAAATCCTGAAAAAATCAGTTTATTTTTCTTATAAAACCAATAGTTTACTGACTTACAAAACAAATTTTGTTACATCATCTGATCTAAAATTTGTCATGCTGGGGATGAATTTTGCTACATGAGGCAGTTGGACTGCAACTAACTGACTCCAGCACTGCACAGTCTGAGTTCATCACTACTCAGGGCTGCTCGATGTCCTGAAAGAGGCAGATATCACATGAGGAAAAAAAAAAAAGAGTCTGCTCATACAGTTGAGAACCAGATAGACTTGTCTTCATGTTTACTGAGTGATCTTCATTCTAACATTTCCTAACTTTCAAACAATTTCCATTTCAACCTGTACATTTTGTGCAAAGCTAAGGGCAGTCACTATATGTAAGCATGTATGTATATAAATTCAGACAGTGTATGCAGTATCTATTTTTACAGGTGATACAGGAAACTAATCACCCCTCCTATTTAAATTACAGTGTCTGTTGGTTTCCCCCAGTTGCTTTTCTAAAGAGTATATACTGTTGCTCTTAAAATCTGATACTGGCTACAATGACATAGGACAGAACTCTTATCTGCCTTAAATACAGGCTTCAGCTACAGACCTGTTGAAGGACAGATATTCAGAATAAGAAGGACCTCCCTTGTTGACATGGAGCACGCAAACATCTCCACCGTCTGTACTAGGACAGTAACTACTGTTAGGAAGAACGTTGGAGAAACCAGAACAGAGGTGTTTGGCTACAGGTGCATACTCCTGGCTCATGTTGAGTTTTTCGTCTGCCAGGACCTCTAAGTCCTTCTCCTCAGGACTGCTCTCAAGGAGTTCTCCCAGTCCATATTATACCTGGAATTGCCCCAGTCCAAATGAAACACCTTGTTCTTGGCCCTGTTGAACCTCATTAGGTTCTCGTGGGCCCCCTTTTTCAAGGCTGTCCAGGTCTCCCTGAATGATGTCCCTTCCTTCCTGGTCCACCTGAATAATGTCAACTGCACTACTCAGCTTGGTGTCATCAACAAACTTGATGAGGGTACACTCAATCCCACCACCCAGATCATTAATAAAGATGTCGAAGAGCATCAGCCCCAAGACAGACCTTGGGGGACACCGCTTGTCACTGGCCACCGGCTGGACATAGAGCTGTTGACTACAGCACTCTGGCTGCATCTGTCCAACTAATTCCTTATTCACTGAATAGTCCATCCTTCAAATCCATATGTCTTTAATTTAGAGATAAGGATGTGGTGTGGGACCATGTCTAAGGCCTTGCACAAGTCCAGGTAGATGACATCATTTGCTCTTCCCTTGTCTACTGATGCTGTCACTCCATCATAGAAAGCTATTGGATTGGTTAGGTCTGATCTGCCCTTGGTGAAGCTGTGCTGGCTGTCGTGAATCACCTCCTCATTTTGTATGTGCCTTAACACAGCTTCCAGGATGATCTGTTTTGTGACTTTCCCAGGCACATAAATGAGGTATGCAGACCTGTAATTTCCCAAATATTCCTTATTACTTTCTCAAAAAGGGGAGTGATATTTCCCTTGGTTAACAGGTTAAGAGAGCAGGGTGTTTTGAGGGGAGTCTGGGCAAGCACTGTGCAAAGGAACATGTGGACCTATTAGAACAACAAAAATTTCATGCATACTACTGTAAGACATTTTTTGCTTATGTGGGATGGAGGTCAGAAGCACATTGGTTGTGCTATGCAAGATTCACAGGCTTGTGTGCTCAGAAGCAGTACTGACATATTCAGGAAGGAGAATCCAGGGGGAATACATCAATAGCACTGCTTTATGTGTTACGAAAAACCTTCTGAAAGGTTTAACACAGCTATTTAAATTAATGCAGTGAATGAGTTTCAGCATGAATTATTTCCCACTCCTACTGATGCACATGATAAGGGAAGAGATTTTGCATTTTTGCATTGCTAAATACAGAGGGAATGTGGGTCAGAGATACCTTTGCATATGTGGACTAGAGTTGGCAGAATACAGGAGTCCTGAGTCACTTCCACTCAGAAAGCCACCACTTGTTTGCTTGCCATTTAGGCCTGTCCTATGTTAGAGAAAATTTATCCTGCTAAAGCTATTTTCACTAGTGCATAGTAACAGTTATAATTGGACTGGGACTCAGGGAAGTAAGAATGCCTTCTATACTAGAACAGCTAAAGCTGCAAGACTTGCTAATGTAAGTAAGCCTTTAAGATGCATTTTTCCCTCTCTGGGTGATTCCATCCAAAGCAAAAAGGGACTGTTTTATTACCACTGCAAAATTGTCTGCCCGTGGTCTGAAGGACATTTCAGCTTCAGGTTTGCCAAGTGCACAGCGCCTCAGCATAAAGGGGACAAGAGAGAATTTACTTTAAGTTGAACAAACTTAATTACACAAGGAGAACTTTTCTGGGAAAAGCTCTTGGCTTTTCCTGATTTGGAAATTCTTTTTGCTTGATTTATTTTTATATTCCTTTTAAATATGCATGCCGCAGCTCAGGGCTTGTCTTGTGATAGGTCAGAGCTATATCTACCTGGTCAGCACAAGCCACATCAGCCTAAGCCACACTCTGACAACTCCTTCAATTTCCCAGTTAACTTAAATTCAAGGCTGGTTTCTCACTGCTGCCATTGGTCTACTGAGGACATGTTTGAAGGGGAGCATCCTTGAATCTACCTTTGATCATGCTGAGATTGGACCTAAAGACCACATGTGCCAAATGTGCATGAACAAGCCACTCTCCCACCTTTCTGCCTTTCAAAGTAAAACTTGATAGAAGACCCAAATTCTTGGTTTTGACAGGAAACTCTAATTCTCATTAATCTATCCACTTTTTAAAAAGTGGGCAAACTATTTATCTTGATCCATCTGTTCGAAACACCTTTAAAAAACTATCTTTGTACCAAATTTTCTACCCATGGATGTACGCCAGAAACTCTATAGACACCTACATTCTGGTATCTACAAGTAGGTGTTCATATTTAAGTTAGATCCTTAAACTCCCGTTGTATTCAGTGGAGAGTTAGTCAATAGCGGCAGAGCACAGGGAGTGAGAATCACATCAACCCGAAATAAATACCTATGAGATTCTCAGTGGAATTACCTTCCAGACTCTATTGAGTGTGCAAAGTTAGAGAAGGAGAAAAGAATATGGGCAAATCAGACAAAACAGTACGATAACTATTGAGACACTTTTTCTGACTCAAGGCAAAGAAGGCATTAATT